AGTGACTTAAATAAAGCCCCTGCTTTTAAATTAAAATCACAGGCTTACATATTTTTTCAGATCAGTAGACAGTGCTGTAGAGAAAAGGAAATAAAATGCCTCATCTCAAGTAAATCCATATAATCTATGAGATAATATTTATTAATTACTTCCTCCCCTTCCCCACAAAGATGCCTCTGAGCTCGGGTTGGTGGGAATATAACCCTGTACTGGGACTGTATTTTATACAGTCTAGCATGTCAGGAATGCCTAAAAAGAAAGCTGTGTTGATCAAACATCACAACTGCATTTTTGAGGGCCCATCCATCACTCTTGTCTATGGGACCACAGAGGAAACTCAATAATGAGCCGAGTGTCAGAGCATCACTGGGAATCAGCTCCTCTGGCTGGCTCCCCATTTTCCTGACAGTACAATTCACTCCAGAGACAGAGGCGCAGAGCCAGGCTCTCACAGACTGTCTGCACCATTCATAAAGAGTTATAAACAACTCATACAGAGGCTCTGCACGAGCCAGATGAACTCACCGGAAATTAAAAACAGATAAGTCAAAATAATGATCTTATTTACTGGTTTCATACACAAGGGAAACTAAGCATCATTCATCCATTAGTCCAGGATCTTGACTCTGCAGATTATTGTATGCTGCAGAATGGCAAAACACATTAATATTTGCTGATGCTGACACTGGAATACAAATACAGGATCTCATTTTATTTTGCTAGCAAATATGAAAAGGCAATACCCATGTGATTGGAGCAAATGCATCTTGAGGAGGTAATACCCCTCTACACAGTGTAACTTACAGCAAATCCATTCAGCAAGTACAAATTCAGATTATCCAACAATGCTGCCAGTCTTCTGCAGAACATGAAGCTGTCTTCAAGAGACCATACTGGCCATATTTCAAAGGCAAGAGTTGACAGTTCTTTGATAATATTCAATATTTGAAGCATATATATCCCATCTTGACAAAGCCCAGCCAGCTTGGAGCACTAGAGGTATTTAAATAAATCTGCTGCCTGGTAAATATCAACCTCTGAATCCTACATATAAGGAAGCCAACCACAGTGTATAATTCAGACCCGTAGTTCTGACTCAGTTATTTTCACAAAGCTGGTAATTGGTGGCAGGAGGAGCTGTTGAGTCTTCTGGTTTTATAACTAGTGGCATTTAACAACTTTCCTATGGTTTCTGACTCCTGTATTTTAAAATTGTCATGCTACTGTGTTATGTGTCCCTGGTGACAAAATAATGCAAACAAGTCAGAATAATTGTTCAAACAAAAATAACCTGCCAGCAGCCTATTCACTGTGAAAAATAAAAATAGATAAATCAAGCATGAGGGGGAAGATCATGCAACAACATCTGGGCTATAATACAGAAGTGAGAAATATCTGATGCCCCCATCAGTATATGGAATGAATCCTCCATTCTTTAATGAACTACACATCCCCTACAACCTATAATTTCTTTCTCTACCTCTAACAATTTGGGGGACTTGTACTATTAGCTGGCTCCATAAATTGGAAAAGTGTACTAAATGAGGTTATGAACTTCATGGATTTTCACTCAGACATACTGCACTAGATGATAGCATCCACAGAAACCTGAGTGAAGGAAATGCTCAGGTTTCCTGGGGCGAGCTCAGCTCTCACGCCAGTTGCCATCACCAGCCCTTGCAACTGTTTGTGAAGCTTACACATAGTAGCAAATCCTGATGTGGAGCTCTGAAACAAAACTAATTGTAAACCAGGTTTTTAATCTTAAAACAATTCAGGGTTTGAAACCTGGCTGAGCGTTTCATATTCCACCTCACTGACCCGAGCAATGCATTGCCTTTGGCATGCCTCATTCCACCAGGGTACATCACCAATCCTGAGGGAATCAACTTTGCAAAATGGCTGCAGCTACACATAGAAATACTCCATGAAAAGGGAGCAGTTCAACGGGGATAAACTTAGCTTCTACTAGAGGATGCAAGCACTCTAATCAAAGACTGGCATGGAAACCAGCAGGGTCCACTCCTGACAATTCCCATCAATTCACTGGGTGATCCTGGATGTGTCACTTAAGCTCTTTCTTCCTTGCCTGATAAGGAAAAGAGAGGAACAATGACCCTTCAGTGCTGTTGCCAGCTTTGATGCAAGACTAGAATGTACTTCAGCAGCATTTTATTAAAGTACCAGGTGCCAAAGAACTGCAGTCAGTAAACAATGCACAGGCGTGACAGAACAGCCCAGCTTTTCAAGGCAGAGGGACAACTCTAAAAAGATCAGCAAAGTTTTTAAAAGGCATCTAAAAATACTCGAAAGTTAACTCAGCTCTTCTGAACCAAGATTAGGTTCTGACTTAGCCATAGGACTAGGAGTAGGTCTGTCAGTGCAAAAGCAAAGAGACTACGGGTGGATTTCCATGCTGAACTTGTTAAAGGAAGGAAAAAAAATGGATTTTTTTCTTTGGAAAAACTTAAATATGACTGTTCACATATAACATTCCTGGCAATTAGAGATTTTCTTAATTGGAATGAAGTGGCTTTTTCCTGAAATAACAAATTCAAAAGTAGCAGTTTTTAACAGCAGGAGACTAAACCCCTAGAATTCTAGAAGAATTAAGAAACAAGTAGAAGCCTCACCTCATACATCCACGGATTTTGAGTCCACGTGCCATACATTTAGAGAAAAACCAAGGAATTCAAGATGTTAAGTATGACCTTAAAACAACACCATGTACATTGAGATGCAACTTCCCCTAGAAAATTTATAATCTCCAACAAACTACATTTTTCCTCACGTTGTCTCTCAAGGCAAAGGCCTGACTCAAGCAGGCACAAACCGCTCTGGGATGGCAGAACAGGAATTCAACAAGGAGAACTCATGATCAGAAGCGGCGTGTGAGCACCAGCGTTACCCAAGGAGAAGCGAGTGAAAGGCAGGAACACAGCCGCCTGTCAGTCACCCGGGCAGGACTCCAGCACCTCCCGAAGAGTTGTGCTCTGTTTTTAGCCCTTGGAGGAGGACACTGACATTTATCTGACCGTCAGGAGGCTGCTGTGTTTTCCAACAGCATCATTGGAACAATGGCTCTGGAAAGTAGCAGATTCAACGGCTGAAAATACTCAGTTTGTTAAAAGCAGGGAAAAAGAAAATCAAAATAAAGCAAGTCAGAGGAGTGAAATTGCGAATTTATAATCCGTGAAGCATTTTTAACAGCTGTATAAAGGCAGCGTTTGCAGCTTTGCATGTCAGATGTCTAGGCAGATGAGGAAGTGAGTTACTTTATTTCAAATTATATGGAACTTTCATACATGACATAATTCGGGTAACTAGACTGCGCTTCACATCAAACTCGAAAGAAAACGCTTCTAAATCACGCATAAAACTCCAAGTAACATTCAAGTTTTCCTTAAATAAAAACTAGAAACCTCGCAACTGCAAAGCACTGATGATGGATGAGTCTGAGCGGCACCACAAACTTTAATGGGTTGTGTTTCTTGGTTTATCTAAAAGCAGCTGCAGCGCAACAGCTGCCCCTGCCCTCGCTGAGCCACGCGTGCGGTCTGAGGGAGGAGCGCGATGGAAACGCCGCATCCCGGGCAGCGCTGCGGGGCTCCGGGCGCGGCCCCTTGGCTCCCGACACCCGGAACACGCCACGGTGCCCCCGCAGCCAGCGGAGCTGCCCACGGCACACACCGCGCCTTCTGTGCTCCTGAGCATCCTCCACGCGGAACGTATGTAACAATCACACAAATCTTGCACTATCAGGCGGAAATAAAGCAGCTCTGAGCTCGTGCCAGGAAGCGCTCCAAAACAAACCAGCTACCGAAGCGAGCAGCCGGGAGCGCTGCCCGGAGCGGGCCGGGCGCTCCGGGGCGGCGGCGGCGGCAGCGCCCGCCCCGCTCGCCGCCGCCCCAGGTGCCGCACGCCGCGCCGGGCCCGGCCCCCCCGTCCTCACCGCAGCAGGCTCCGGAGGGAGAAGCAGAAGCGGCGGCTGCGCTCCCCGCCCGGTGCCACCCCCCGCCCGCCGGGCCAGGCCGGGCGCTCACCATGGCGAAGCCGGAGAGCAGCGCGGAGGTGCGGCTGGAGGCTTTCAGCTTGGCTCGGCTCAGGTAGAGCTTCCGCCAGGACAGCGCCTGCATCGAGTGCTCGTTCAGGCTCATGGGCTCGGGGCGGAGGAGCGGAGCGAGGCGAGGCGGAGCGGGGCCGGCGGGCGGTGGCGGCTCTTTCCGGCGGAGCGGGCCCGGCCGCGCTAACACCCCATGGCGGCAGCGCGGCTCTGCCGCCCCGGGGCCGCGCCCGCCGCGCGCCCCGCGCGCCCCGCCCCGCCGCGCCCCATTGGCTCCCGGCACCCAGGCCCCGCCCACTGCCCCGCCCCGCCGCTTCCCGGCAGCCTCGCGCCTCCGCGCGGGCGGGCGCTGTGCCCCGGCGCCGCCAGGGGGCGCCACGCCGGGCGAGCCGCGCTCCGTGAGGGCGCTGAGGGCCCGCGGGGCTGTGGGGCCGAGCCCGCACCGAGCCCGCACCGAGCCCCGCACCGAGCCCGCACCGAGCCCCGCACCGAGCCCCCACGGAGCCCCCGCCGCGCTCCCCGGGTGAGCAGCTCACCGGAGTGCAGCTGACGGGAATCTGTAGTTTCCGGTGGGTTTGTGCCCCTCAGCCCAGTGCGGGAGCCCCTGCGCGCTCCCCAGGGCGGACAGGATGGGGTGTCCCCCTGCAACACGTCCCTCAGAACAAGCACAAAGCCGTGCCTCGGCCTCTTCCTTCTGTCGTCCCCCATCCTAAAATGCTTAAACGTCTAATCTACACCTGTGCAGAGCAGACAGAACATGTGGATCCAGACCAGATAGAACAAACACCCTCTCTTCTAATTAAAACTGACCCAGCTAACCCATTGTCACGTAATTCAGTTTTTTCACATTTGGTAGGCCCAGAGCTCTTGATAAACCCGCCTTTATCAGCAAGCACTTGATAAGGTTGATTAAACAGCACATTTCAACATCTACACATGCCAGTGTTGAAAGATTTTTTTATTACCAGGTTCACATACACCCTTTAAACCATAATTCATTTTTTCTGTGTTTTACAGAGAGAAAAGTGAGGCGTAGAGCAGAGCTCCCTAGTGAATACTTGGCAGAGTTCTGAAGGTGATTTCTGAAAAGGTGAGGTAACACACTGCTTGTGCCACATCAAATTTGTGCATCAGGAGATTTAAGGGATGTGTAAGAAACAAGCCTGCTGCTATCAATTTGTAGTTAAGAAAAATAGGATGTTAACAATACAAATAATACTCGACAAGGATACTTTTACTATTAACAGGCACATGGATGGTCACCTAGGAGATGAATCCTTGCTAGTTTCATTTAAAATCAAAAGCATCGTTAGTTTGTATTGTTTTGACATGTCCCACCTTATTTACAAGTAGGAAAATCACGGCAGATTGTCTTTAACATTTTTGCTTTGTTCTTCACACCTTTCTGATTTGCAAGATCCTTCACTTCCTTAAGCACAACAATGGGAACGACAATCTATACCAACAAGGTCACTTGATGCTTTTCATGTACAAGGCATTCTTTTTAAAAAGATGTAGTGAAAACATCCAAGAAAAATAATCTTAAGGATTTGAAGTCTTCAGAGGCATTCCCTGTACCATGTAGATTTGATCTCATTCCCTTCTCAGGAAATAAACACAGTCCTCTTGTTATAAACAACTTCGGGTGAGATTTTTATCTACAGGGGCATTAAAACACCTCAGTAGAAGAATGAGTTTGACTTAGTCTTTCCATAAAAGCCTCTGCTGTTCTATCACTGACTCCACGGAATTTTGGCCACAATCCTTCTCTTTTCTGGGTGACAGTACCGCTGTGCAGGATTAATTTGAGTTGAAGTCCAGCAAAAGATAAAATTTAGAGGTGGATTTGGCAGTGTTAGGTTTGTAGTTAGACTTGATCATTCTAAAGATTTTATGTAACCTAAATGAGTCTGTGATTATAAAACATTACTCTTTTTTTGGTGTGCTTTAATTATTAAGCCCCCTCAAAAAAACCCAGAAGACCACCCCACAATCAACATTCTCTGTCTCCCACTGGTGCCTGAGGCTAACCAATTGTGATTTATCTCTTTTTTCCTTGGGAGATATGATAACCATCAAAAACAATAACTAGAACTTTCTTCACATCTCAGAAAAACATTCAAGTCTCTGTCCCGTGGAATTATATAATTAAAAATATTTTGCATTGCTGCTTATAAGCTATGACAAATGTTTATGTACATGTACATAACCATGGTGGATTGTTCACTATTTCTTCTTGTTTCTGTGCAAAATTATGGTTAAACTGTAACATCATGAGGGAGTACTACTGTACTAGGTCTTGACCTGTTCCCTAAAATCAGATTTCTCTAAATAAAAGAACCATCTGCAAGAGACATACATCCGACGAGGACTTCAAGTGTCTTTCTAAATAATTGTATTTAAATAGACTCCTTGAACTCACTGTTCCTCTATTTTCCTGTCCATCACTCTTATTCCTGTTTATTGGAAAGGGCTTTGAAAGATACAGCATTAAACACTGAGGTTCTGCTGAGTTTGTATTTCATTCAGAGAAAAAGTATGAAAAAGGACCTGCGGAATCAGCAAAGGCATTTCATCTGATGCCCTTTTCCAAACCAGACCCATGTGTCATTTTGAGATTCCAGCCTCAGTGTTGTAACTTTGAAATAAACATTCCTTTCCTGTAAGAAAGAAAAGAAAACTCAGTTTGTTAAACAGAAAAAATACAGTAAGGTTCAACATGAGGCTTTGTGCACCCTTTTCCCTTTCTGTCCCATTTTACAGCTCCATCTGAGGTACAAACTAAACAGGATAAATTATTTCTAACTCTATTACTCATTATGACACACCTCTACACTGCCACTCTAGAGTGAGCTGAAACTAAAAGAGTCAGCCTTGCTTAATTAACTCTTAGAAATGCTTCAGGGAGTTCTTCTGAAGTCATGCTGGGGCTCAGGGCCGGGGTTTGCTGTCACCTGTGACCCCTGCAATTGCCGAAGGCCACCAAAAGGGTGTATCCTGCCCTCTCCCTTCATCTCAGCCCTCTCCAGCCTGTGAATCGCACCGATCAAATGGCTGCAGAGCTTCAGTGGATTGACCTAATGAAATAAATATATATTTTTTTTCTTAATGGCTAAGTTTTCTGCGGGATCGGGTCACTGAACTGACTCGCCCCGTGGCTGCACCAACACGAGACCTAATGCAGGAAAAGTGAGGGACGTACATGCAAGAGGAAAGGGAACGGGCCCTTTCAGTAGCAGCCTGTTATTACCCCTAATTAGAGGTAATGTCAACCCGTTCTCTGGATCATTTATGCGTGAACACAATTGGAGCAGGTGGCAGAAGTCCAAGTTTCTTTCCAGAAAGCCCTGAGAAATCTGTACACTGTCACAAGGATACTCACAGTTCTTTTTTTCTGCTAAAAATGTACTTCTGTATTTTCTGTAGGAGGCTGAATAGGTTGGCTGAGTACCCTGTGATTAATGTGATCCGGTGCTGAGCACACCGAGGTGCTGCCCTTGGCAGAGCAGCTCTGCTAAAACAGATCTCCAGCTTCATATGCAAATCAGCACTTCCATTTGTTCCTGTTACTGCACCCAACCCGAATCAAGCCACCACAAAGTGGAAGTCATGGTAGATCTGCATTAAAAACAACATATTTGAACTTGCAAAAGGCAAATACAGGTTTGCCAGCAGTCCCAGGGAGGTTAAGGAAAACATCCTTTGCAAATCTCATCTGAAGCAGAACTTAACATTTAGTTGATGGAATTTCTGCAGGGGAAAGATTTTTATCTACCATGTCTAAAAAAGTTGTATTTCAGCTTCCTTCATAAAACAGAGAAATACTTAAATATCTAATCTTCTATCCTAACCCAAGGTAAAGAAAGTATAGAATGGTAGATCTTACAGGATAGACAGTATTTTTAAAAGTGTTTTAAGATTAGTCTGGCCCATTCTGTGCAATGGGAACTAACTGTTTTAGAGCTCAGTGGGGTGAAATGATCCCATGTCTTCATAGAGCCTTCCCCAGCAGAGAAGTTCAGCTCTGGTTTCAGCATGAGCCTTGCAGTACAACATTAATTAAATGACAGCTCCCAGTTCCAAGCTAACGAGGTCAGGATCCTGCGCCTTGGCATGATTAGATCTTAAATAATTTAAGCTACATTAACATCCAGCAAAATAAAGTGTTAGTGTTTTTTTCAGAGTTCAGTGCAGCCTATTGTATCACAATGTTCTGTGATAGAATGTCAAAATGATGTGTTTTCCTTCTTTGACTGTGAAGAAGGCCAAGTCTTTTGTCAGCCCTGGGATGTCCCATCCAAGCACTGCCTGATGGAGCCCAGCTCTGGGCACTGTTGGAAAACTGTGCCATGATCTGCTCAGGGGGAAAACCAGCCCCAACCCTCATCAGCCAGCACTAAGCATAGGAATTTAATATTGCTTCTGAATGTTTTTATCCTGTCTAACATAGCTGTGGATATGGATATTCTCATCATCCACAACCTACACATTCCACCTCTCCTTTTCCTTCCCCAGTTCTTTTAAGTTTGGGATAGGTTTTTTGTTATTGACACACAGATTATTTTCATGGTATAATGAACTGTAGTTGAATAGGTATAATTTCTGTCTTAAAACAAGTTTTAAAAAGTGTTTTCTATTTTTGGAGATCTATAGATAGAAACTGTGTTGTTTCTGAAACATTTACTTCCACACTTCTATAATGCGCTCTGATGTTTCCAGGTGTATGTGATGGATACAGCTTTGGTGGGTTTGCTTGATACACCAAGAGTCTCAGATTGTCCATGTCCAAAAAAATATTTAGAAAAATGAGTTGATTTTCTTTTATGTCTCTGTTCTGTCTCTTTTGGTAGACTTTTGCAGCATGGATGGAGATGTGTTTTTTGTCTGATGATTCTCTAGTAACATCCATTTATCTTGTATCCTGACCTCAATTCTACAGATGTACACATGTATTTAATTTTAAGATTGAGTAATCTTGGCTGAAAGGTTGAGATATGTATATATCTCCTCAGGATTATGGATTAATAATGCACTTGCTCCAACAGACATCTGGAATCCACACTTCAATATATAGCCTATAAAACACTTCCATACCATAATAAAGTTCAATCATCTGCAAACAGGGAGATGTTAGAGAAAGATTACATGATTTTTCAAGATTGTGCAAACAGTCCTGGGCAGAATCAGAAAGAGAAGCTCACTGCCTTAAATCCTGTTAGAACTCCGCCCTCTCCTGCCTTTATCCATGGATCATTAAAATAGGAATTGTTCCAAAGAGATCAATGGCAAGGCCTGCAAAGTTGAATTTTAATGTGTTTTAAATTTTGCATTAACACTTAATATATTTCATATAATACCTAGGATGCTTAACTGATTGCAAAAAGCAAACCAGAGGAACACTGCCAAAGCCATCAGCCCCGACCCTGATTTGGGTATCCTTTGATGTTCCCTTTCTTGGGGGATGTGGAGGGGAAGTAAGGGATGTCACTTCAGAGAGGAGCCACGCTGTGGAACCTGGGGGCTGTTCAAAACCTGCACTCTGACCCTGCTATTGCAATCAGATGGTCCCAATACTTGCTCAGCATCAATTTAGAGTAGATGTTAGGGGGTGTTGTAGAAATGAGACCCGCCGAAAGTTTTTGGAACTGCAGGATCTCCATCCTGCAGACTTTTTGTATCAGCAGCTACTTTACAGCATTTTCTTCTTATTTTTCATGCGATTTCTAACTACCTGTTGTACATGCGTATTGCAAAAGCAATTTTGGTTTATTTAACACCTGCTTAACACTATTTACAATACATTCTGGATTTTATGACCGGTTTTCATAGGGCACGTGGGTGCAGTGCCGGGAGCGGTGCCGGCACCAGCCGGGGTGCGCGTTCCGCGCCGAGCTGCACCGCACGTGTGCCAGAGGCACGGAGCGAAGCCACCACCACAATTAACCCAAAGTCTGTATATTATAAGATTATTTTCAAGTGTTTGCTGCATTAATTCGCCACTCCTCACCCCGGTTTTACGCCGTTGGGGTCGGACACACTCGCGGAGCTCAAATTACTCCCGGTTAAGCAAAACCGCTCAACTCTTCGGGCACATCCCGGGGGCGGCGGTACCAACGCAGGGACCGTCCGCGCCTTTGTGGGGCCCCGTCCCCGTCCCCCCGCTGCCGCTCAGCGCCTGCGTGCCGCGCACTCGTGACCGAACACCGCACGGCGGGGCCGGCGGCCAGCCCAGCGCCGGTACCGCCCCGGTACCCCGGCCAGCAGAGCGCCGGTACCGCTCCGGTATCCCACCCAGCCCCCCATCCCGGCCAGCCCAGCGCCGGTACTGCCCCGGTACCCCGGCGAGCTCCCCATCCCGATCAGCACAGCGCCGGTATCGCCCCCGTATCCCACCCAGCCCCCCCATCCCGGCCAGCCCAGCGCCGGTACCGCCTCGGTACCGCGGGCATTCCCCCCATCCTGGCCAGCCCGGCGCCGGTCCTGTGCCGTACCCCCGGACATCAACCCCGCCCGCCCCGGCCAGCCCAGCCGGTACCGCGCCGTGTCCCCGGTCCGCCCCCCCGCCATCCCCCCGGCCCCGCCGCTGTTTACGTTCCGGGCACTGCGACGCCTGCGCCCCGCTCC